AAGGGAATGGCTTAAGGGGGTTCAGGTCCATTCACATAGAGGTGCCCTGACAACATATACTGTAAATAACAATAACCGACAATACAAGAGCTACTAGTTACGCTGCGTATGGCGCCCACGCGAAGGAAGAAGTAGTTGCTCTGCACAGAGCACGTTGGCCCAATCTTTCATCTTCTATCTTTCATCTTCTATCTTCCATCTTCTATCTTCCATCTTCCCATCCTTTTCATTTCCTACGCGCCGGACGGAGGAATCTGGACCCTTTTACCTGCGTTTAAACTACGGAGGACGGAGTACGCAGTACTAACCATCTACTACTGCTCCACTAAACTAGCGAGTTAAGATTTTGTATTATTGACCCCCCAGATCCGCGGTCCATTTCCGCGGAATCAACCCTGAGGTGGGTTGGTTAGTTATTTCGTTAGTCGTTGACCAAGGTAGGAACAGGACAGTAGTTATCCATAACTAACTACAGTACTTTCATTGCAACAGGTCGTTCTGGTCGCTCTATCAAGCTCAACAATCGCTTTTTTTTTTTTTTTATTTTTTTTTTTTTTTTATTTTTTTATTTTTTTCCCTAACCATACTACACACTATTTTTAATATTTGATAGTTGATTTCGATTTACTTTCGTGGTTGGTGAGGAATCGGGGATTTAAGAGCCATCACACCATCACTTCCAGTAGTAGTTAGGAAATCGGGGGCGTTAGTAGTAAGTTAGTTAGTTAGTTAGTTAGTTAGTTAGTTAGGTGGTGGTGGATTATGGTATTCGGGCAACCCCTGAGCTTATTTTGGGGCACTATGGACCCGGTTGGGTGAAAGTGTCATGTAGGTTATTTGTGGGACATCTTATATAAGTAGTTATCTCGGGTTTAAGAACCGACCCTCTTAAGACAGATACCCGGAACGATCCACTAATCCACTATCTACAGCCCCCATCAAAGATCCCTGTCCGATGCACACCAGGCAATGCTGCCGAACAGTCCGAACAGTCCGAATGAGAGGATTTCTAGAAGTCTTCTTTCTTCAAAGACATGGCCTCAGCTACCGTCACCCAGAAGACGTCCGTGCCCAGGCTCAATGCTCGATATCTAGCGGCTGCCAGCCTGGATAACTAAGCGGAAGGAACAGTGCATCGCTTTCAGAAATCGAGGAAGTGTCCCCAGTGCCTGAGTTGTATGGTTGGCGTACTGATGGAGGCGAGGTCTTTCTAGTGGTTATATGGAATTGGATACATGGACAGAACTGTGGAAAAAATCTTGGGATTCAATGAGTTCAAAACTTTTGTTCAGAGCTTCAGACTTTGTTTTGCATCTCCAATCTACGATGGCTCAGACAAGAATGATCCCCGGCTACCAAATACTTGCCAATTTTGATACTGCAGCAGCAGTATGAGAGCACAGCGGAGGCCTGGTGGTGGTAGACATCATCAATGGGACCTTAAGACTAACCCTACTTAAACCTACCTCCCCCCCCCCAAAGTCGAATCTTCCGGGGAGTCGCTTTTAACCGGGAAACGCAAAAGGGCAACAGAGAGGCAAGGAAAGGAAAAGGCAAACCACAAACGCAAAACGCAATGGGGCCCTTCAAACTAAACCACTACCCGGTTAAAATGGGTGTCAGCACCCAAAAAAAAAAAAAAAACCCGACCACCCCGCGAACAGTTCCCCGGCCGTGAGCACCAGTTAACTTAAAATAAAAGCACGGCTCAACCTTATCGCACAAAGCTTACGACTGGCAAGGCCCAAAAACACCAGTGGGCGGCGAACCCACGCCTCCGGGCGCTTATGAAGGCGAAGTCTTCCCTACCATCCCCCGGGAGGTTTTAACTGCTGAGCACATTACATACGCAGCCTACACGGCACGCTCCTGAGTCCCAGCTGGCAAGCCCGTTGTTATTTGTTATCTATAGATAATATAGTATAAATACAGTAAGTAGCGGGAGACTCTTTTTTTGGGGTGAAGCGCAGGGTTAAGCGCCTGGAATGCGCCTGGAACGCGCCTGGAACGTTAAGCGAACCCTTTAACTGGTTTTTTTTTTTCCATGCGTGATTGAATATGGGCTGGAATAGTTGTATAGAGCACTAGCAGTATGTCGCGATGGGGGGTCGATTGAATTCTTTACTGCTGTTCCTCCGGTAAGACTTTCAAACATCAAAGAAAAATCCCCCGCTAACTACCCAAAAAAAAAAGGGATGGCATGCTTCGTGTTGTTCTCAGAAACGTGCGTTGGGCTGGGGATCGTGTATCAAACAAAGCAAGGTTGCGAAACGCTAGTCGGCTGGAAGAGGAGGGTTTTCTTTCTTTCCTTTTTTTTTTTCCCTTTTCTTTTTCTTCTATACATAACATCCACGGCGTTTGAGTAAAACC